AGTTTTTTTCGTAAAAAACTTTTTCCTTGCCTAAAAAGGTCTCTCTCAAAAACTAATCACGGATTCAGATTCGTCGACCTCGAAGACGTTTGTTCAAACTTTATTAAAAAAACGTCTTTTTTAAACCAAAAAAATGATTTCAAATAATTTTCAAAACTAATACTACCAATCGATTCTTCGACCTCGGAAACGTTTGATCAAACTTTATAAGAAAAACATTTTTTTTGCTAAAAAACCTCTCTTTTTCGTAAAAAACATCTATTTGAAAAAATTTTCAAAAACTAATGTCACCATTCGATTCCTTGACCACAAAAACCCATGGTAAAGATTTTTACGATTTGTGAAACACTAGTCTAGTTGATATACGCATCTCTATTTTCTGATTGGTTAGGATAGACAGGCGGAGAGACGGACAGACAAACTTTAAGGATATTTACCGCCGTATAACCGTTTCTTTTAGAAAAGGGAACAAGCGTAAACCATAATACCTGATAACAAATAAAAAAGAAATCTGATTGGCTGATTTGTCTCCTCCTCTGAAATCCCATTGGTTGAAACCACAATGTCAAAAAATCCTATTGGTCGAAATCCCGACCAAAAATAACCTTACTGGGCCGAATTACACAGTAAAGAAATCTGATTGGCTGATTTGCTCCCCTCCCTGAAATCCTATTGGTTGAAACTACAATGTCAAAAAACCCTATTGGTCGAAATCCTGACCAAAAATAACCTCAGTGGGCTTTTGTTGTAAAATGAGTGATATGAGAGGTCAAAAAAACTTCTTTTCGTTCTGTGCGAACGAACGAACGAAGTTACGAAGTTACGAAGTTACGAACGGACAAACTTTGCTCGGTGTATGACCCTCCTTTCAGTAGAGGGAACAATCGATCAGAGAAAAAACTTCAAAAAACTAACATCAGATTCGAGTTCCTCGACCCTGATTACCCTTCGGTCACCCCTTATAAAAAAATTTTTTTCGTAAAAAAAGTGATTCTTTGTGTAAAA